GAGTTTCAGTCAGTCTTGCTCACTGAGATATATGGAACTTCCCTTGAAGTTCATGCACAAATTTCAGATAGTACAAAATATTACTACAAGATTCCTCGGGAGTGTAAACCTGTGCTCCATACACATCACTGGCTTCCTGTTTGTTCACAGATGTACGTCAAGGTGTTGATTTTGATCTATAAAGTCTAATATGATATAGCTCTTAGTTACCTTGAAACCTCCAATCTTGTCATGCTCATTCCTGGCGGCTGAAATCAATGAGGATCTTCTCAGTGATAGGCCATAGATTGATATAGCTGCAGTAGAACATTTTCAGCAGCTAGGTCATCATGTCTGCAATGTGATTTCCTCACTGGTCTGACAGAACCTGAGTTTATGGGCCTTCAGGATAGGTTGCAAGATCTGTCTGTCTATTCAGGTTCCTGTCTAAAGAAATGGCCTGGCAGTAGTTGAGTGTCTGAGGTTTGTGGAGGTATTTTTAGGTTGATTGTGTCATTCAGTGTGTTACGTTCTTGAAAATGATCCTGAGATTCTACAGACAACTGGAAATAAATAAAAATCCCAGCCTTGCTAACTCAGCCCTTTAGCCTTCTGAGATAAATTGAGTGCCATGATATTTACTCTGCGTGTGTCTTTCATTTGAGACCTTAAAATCTGAGGTTTTGGCTTCTCTGTAAGAACATTAAAGATGTAATTACATTTTTTGCCAAAAATGTCCTCCTTGCACCTTTGTGCAGTGCGCTGCCTGCTGTAAGGAACTCATGCAGCGGGGCTGGGCCTGTAATTGTGAATTAGTATTGCTTTCGCGCTATTGATTATTGTGTAGCAGAGGCCACCCATACTGGTTATATAAGAACTCAGCAAATGCCGGTCAGTGTTTTTGCAACACAACAGCTGCCTGGCTCTTTATCTGCTAGGTGCAGTGCTTCATTTGTGGGATAAAGACTGACACGGCTTCAGTTGAACCGGAGTCTGTTGTGAGTGTTATCGTGTCCGATGCTGACTAGCCACTGCGTCCACCTAAGAGGTTGTATTCAGGGGTTTCGCATGCACCTGGGGCCACATTCTGATACCCTTACTCAGGTTGAGTAGCAAATTATCAGAGTCTGGCCCATAGGTTTATTAAGATCCTCCAAGAAGAAAGGTGCTATATGTTATAGTTCAGGGCAATTGCACATGTATTTCCCCTCCATGGTCCACCAAGGGCACCAATTCTAGGCCATCACCTCTCTTGGGTGGAGACTCACCTCTCTCTCTCTCTCGCTCGCTCTCTCTCTCTTCCCCTTCCCCCTCCCCCCCACCAGAATTTTTCCAGGCTGCACAGTTCCCTAACTACATTATGTTACTCCCAGAAAGCCAGAATGCCTAAACAGACTAGTGTCTTTGCTTTCTGTTTGAAGGCTATGAACAGCTGTAATAGCCAGTGGTCACAAGCTCCAAATAGTCCTTTATAAGCAAGCACACTTATTCTTAAGATGAAGGCACTAGGGAAAAACAAAAAGCAAAGTTCCTGTATACATGCGAAAAGCTCACCAGAGGACATGCATCAGTCTTATGGGGCCCCGGTTGGCCAAAGTCCTTCCAGCCCTTCCCAGGAAGGAATAGGGTCCACCATGGGCAGGAAGTCCTGTCCATTTGCTGGATCAGAAAGCAGGCCCTGAGTCAGTTTAAACTCAGGCTATTTATCCAAAAGTCCCTTGTTTTTTTTTGTCTGTTGGTCTCTGGAGAATCCAGTTTGACTAATATACGTGAGTGTCTCCAGGTAGAAGTACTTCTCTAGAGGTTTACTACCCAAGTGAATTTGCTTAATCACCTCATGCTGTTCTTAGTTCCTGGAAGAGCTGTGGTCACTCTCCCCGATGGAATTACATACAGTCCCTGGCCCACAATGGTACATAAATTTAATACAATAAGATCTCACAAAGATATTGCAGGAAATTGCCATGTCTGTCACACTATGTAAATGCAAAATATGTTGCTGTCCTTCTCTCATTATCAGAATTACATTATTTTGAGATTTACTTTTCTCTAGTTTTATGCTTAGGTGCATGGGTGGCGTGTGAACACCACTTTCGGGGAGGCTAGCTCACCTGGCCCCCACCCCTTCCACCTGATTCCCCCTCCCCCTCCCATCTCCCCCTCTCCCTTCTCCCCACACCGTGGCCAGAGAAGCCCTGGCTGAACCGCCCCGAGCACTGCCCAACCGCCCCAGCTGCCATGATCCCCGAGCTGCTGCCCGTCCCAGCTGTCCCAAACCCCAGGCTGCCAGCTGGCCTGAGCACCTGCCCGAACCACCCCAAGCTGACGGCCGGACAAACCCTGAGCTCCAGGCCTCTGGCCCGAGCTGAGCTCCCGCCGGCTTCGGGGAGATGGGGAGCAAGGGCAGGGCCTCGGGGCGGAGCATGGGTGGGGCCATGTCCTGGGTTAGGGGAGTCTTAGGCTACGTCCTCACTACGGGGGGGGGGTCAATTTAAGATATGCAAATTCAGCTACGCGAATAGCGTAGCTGAATTCGATGTATCGGAGCCGACTTACCCCGCTGTGAGGACGGCGGCAAATCGACCTCCGTGGCTCCCCCGTCGACGGCACCTACTCCTACCTCCGCTGATGGAGTAGAAGCGTCGATTCGGGGATCGATTGATGCGTCCCAACGAGACGCGATAATTCGATCTCCGAGAGATCGATTTCTACCCGCCGATTCAGGTGGGTAGTGTAGACCTCCCCTGGCCTACTATACCTGCTGCCCGTGCTTAAGTGTATGTATATATGGTTTCACATGAGCAGGTTTGAATGGTAAATATTTAACAAAAGAAACTCAACATCCTGCACATTTCTGTATTTTGCTGGTTACTTTAATTTAATAAGGGTAATGCCTCCCCCCGACTCCCTTCTTTCCCTTTCATTTAACCCCTGTCTGCAATCTCATCAGAAATGAGCTAGGGACGTTAAAACCAAAATTCTAACTGGCAATCCTGCTAAAAATTCTCTGACCATCTGCACTGTTTAAACAAGATGTGTGTGTATGTATGTGTCTAGAAATTGAAAACCTGTGCTCAGATGTGCCTCAGATTTTGCTCTGGGTTCAATCTACGAGATTATTCTCTTTCTTTTATTCCTGCTTCTCAAATATCCAAAATACTCTGCTCTGTTGTAGCAATTTACTGTTCTGAGGTAGGGGATTCAAGGGCTTGATACTGCTGTTGGACTATTGAAAGGAAGTAATTTCTAACACTAATTTCTTTATATCATGTCTGAGATGCCTAGCCTCTGTGACCTCAGGGTACCAGGTCAGACATCTCAGTACAGCAGTGTATGGATTATTGCACCAGCAGAAAATTACTTTTTCCGTAATTTCATATATTTGTTATTTGGAAGTATGGTGCTGGCTTCCGGTGCACAATAGAGCTCATTTGGAAAAAAAATAGAGCTTATTTGATTTTTATTTTAAGTTTACAAGCCTACATTCTGGTTCCAGTTGTATTTTTCATGCCATATAAGAGGGAAGTGTCAAAGGCTACAGCCAAAGATCATAGCTGGAGAGAAATTCTAGTGCCAGTCATGTAAAAAAAAAAAAAAAAAAAAAAAAGAAAAAAAAATCTAATGACAATCATGTAAAAAAAAAAAAAAAAATCCAGCTGTATAAAATATCCTCTGAGGATTTTCTTAACACACTATAGATAAATTCAGGTAATAAGTGGGCAGTAAAAAATTGACATTTTATAAATTAATATTCAAAAAGCAAATATTTTTCTATAAATGTTGAGCAAACAAACAAAAACCTTGAGTATGAAACCTTGGAAAGAAGTGCCCCCTGCTGGTGTAGTGTTTGTTTCACTTGTAAACTATTGAAAAATGAATGTGTACTTCAGGGTTCTCTTGTGCTTCTTATGCTGCATCATATTTCTGCTGTCTCCACAAAGTCTAAGATAAACTATTTTGTAAATCTGTTCTTTTTGTCTGTATATAAACCAAGTCCATGAACTTTGAGGATTGAGGATTTTTAACTTCATGTAACTTTTTTTGTGGAACTCAATACCTAGTATACACCACACAGTGGAACATTCAGAGAGTAATACTAAACCAGTTTGTTTACAATTGGTAAAGAAAGTCAGAACTGAAATCGGATCCTTCTCATTATACAGAGCTACCATACAGTTGTCTGTGGATCGCATGCTGAAATTGAGACTATGTAATAATTCAGATAAAACAGGCAATTAAATAATACAAACGATTAAAACAAAGGCTTTAGATAAATTAAGGCACCCCAGCTCAGAGTTCATTGCAGGATTGCAGCCTGAGTGGTAAACCAACATGTCAGAATATTTGAAGTTTGAGTATAGGCGTGTTACTCTACTAGGGCTTGGTCCAAAGCCATTTGAAATAATTGGAAGTCTTTCCATTGACTTCAGCGGTGTACTTCAGATCAGGCTCATGATTTGCTGAGACATTAGGAATTTCAGACCAGAATTAAATCTATAAACCCTGGTGGGTTTTTTGTTTTGTTGGGGTTTTTTAAAATCTTCTGAGAACATTAAATTTTTCAGCTTTAGACATATGCCATTTATAGGCAACAATGTCTGAGAAACAGCACAGGATAAAAATAGTCTTATTATGTAGTATAAATAATAGATGAGAGAAAAAATAGTAAATTATTCTTCATCTGTTTGATCACATCTAATACAATTGACTCATGTTGCCCCATTTGTTTCACCATTCACTATATTTATAGTCATCACAAATCCATGAAAATAAAACCGCTTATTTTTATTTTTTATTTTATTTTTCACCATATGCTCTCTGTGTACTATAACTTCAGATTAACATAACTTCACGTACCATGGTGCTCTTGTTTATCTTTTTTTGATAGCTTAAGCATATGCTCTGAATTTGATGCTGCAGTCTTCATTGATGATCGGTATTTCATTTGCTTGACTTTATTTTAACGTTACTGGTGTAATTTTGAGTATATTGTTGATATTTTTCTTTCTTTTCACATTTAGGTGGAGAACCGACCAAAATATTATGGAAGAGAGTATGTATTATACTATTCTATTTTTTATTATTTGATAAATAATCACTTGAGGTATCATGCATTCCTTTTGAAATTATTAATACAGAAATAACAATACCATAGTGGAGGTGTTATGACAAAATATTTCATTTCACTTTCCATAATCCTAGCATGAAAATGTTTTGAATGTCTAATATTCCAGTTGCACATCGATTCATTATTGTTGCCCAACAGTGCATGGCCTGTACCATCACTTCAGCATGTGTGTCAACTAGAGTAGGACAAAACCATGGATGATGACTAAAAACAAATCTGGGGTTATTTGAGGAAGAATGGTTCAGATTGTTTCAGCTCTCCCATCCTTGATCTTTTTTCGGCTGTAACTTTTAACCCCCTTTTAGTTTTACTGTTTTTCTCAATCTCGTTCCTCCTATTCTTCCTTCTTTTTGATGTGTGCTTACTGTACTTTCTTCTCACTGATACCCGGTATTACAGTGTCAGTGAGAGTATGAGACTGCTTCAGGTCTAAAGGCTGCCTTACCCCATGGGCATACAAGGCCTGAAATGGTGTCCAGTGCAAGGAAGGGAAAAGGGCAGGCAACTCCGAGGCCTCAAAAGAGGGACTCCATTCTCCCACTGTGCAGTGGGAGTGTTATCTCCAAATGGCTTGCATGTACATTGACCCAGAGCCCTGTATAGATAGTGTTCAAGGGCCACAGCCATTGTTACAGCTCCTTCGAGACCCTTTACTTGAACTGTGTGCATAGAATGAGAATTTTCCCTTTAATATGGTACTTTTCTGAGGCCTGCTGTTTAGCTTGCAATAAGGATTAACTATATAATTTCCTTTTTAAGGGTTTTTTCACACCCAGGGCATAGCAGCTGTCAAACTATCAAAGAGCTCCTAATGATTATAGTTGCATTTTTAAAATATAACCTGTGACAATAGGGAATTCAGTCATAGCCACTTGAGTACAGTAGAGTTTGAAAGACAGCACCTAGCTAATTGAACCACCAAGCTTTCTAGCTCTAGATCTTTTAAAACTATTATCACTGTCTTTTGTCCAATGAACTGGTTGTTATTGATAGTGTGTGTATTACAGCTAAGAGCCTAAACTCATTCTTGTTATCTGGACTTGTTTGACATTAATGACAGTGAATTTATTAATAAAGATGCATTTAAATTGTGTAATTTTAGAGATGTTCATTCTAATTGGCTGTAGTAGAAAATGCCTGTGGTTCATCAGCATAGTAGGAAAGTTCAAATCAATCATAATTTTAAAAAGGAAGTATGCCTAGTAATGCTTTGGAAAGGTCACCTAGAACCTAATGCTTCTAACATGTATTCAATATGAAAAAGTGACAAGTGCAATTGCTGTTCAGTTCTCTTTACATCTAAAATGTTTTTCCTCTTCTTTTTCCCTACCAAACCAGAGGCAGCATTTTAAACCTACCATTTCTGACGTATTATGTCAGAAAAAAGACAATGCTTAGGGCTAGAAGCTTTTAACATATTTACTGTATTTTTAGACAGCAGCATTTAAAATAGAAGCTTTTAAAAGCTCCAAGGAAAGGTTTAGTGAATCAGCTAGCAAAATATGTGCACAACATAGTATTTAAACTACTCTAAAGACTGTATTTTGTCCTTGTTTAAAGGTCATAGCTGAAGAACTGATCAATGTAAAGTCAGCTGTTTGTCTTAGGGCCTGTTCCTTTTGTCATGGAGGAATGAATCACAGAAAGAGTCACTTTCTGCAGAAACTGGCCAAAGAACTTTATTGAAATGAGGAAAACAATATTCTCCCTAAGGCTACTCTTCGTCTATTTCTCTATGTCACTATAGCACATCTGACTAGAACCTTCACCAGCGCCTTTCTGCCACACATTTAAAGAAGCAGTGCAGATATCCTCACTCCTTTTAAAAACCATATATATGAACAATAAAGGCAGATTTGTAATAAGGATACTATCTAGAATATGTGCATTAATTTTAATTTACCATTTTATTTGAAGGTGCCTTCATTTCTGCTCTTGTTTCATTCCGCTCATATAAAGTAACCATTGTAGGAAACTCCAGGCCTGATCATGCTCCCTCTTAGAGCTGGCTTAAAAAAAATGCTCAGAGTCTAACTGATCACTATATTTGGGATTGGAAAGGATTTTTCCCCCAGGTCAGATTGGCAGAGACCCTGAGGTTTTTTCTGCCTCCCTCTGCAGCGTAGGGCATGGGTCACTTGCTGGTTTGAAAATGGTGGATTCTCTGTAACTTGAAGTCTTTAAATCAAGATTTGAGGATTTGGCCTTCATGTTTTTTTCTTGTTCTTCTATATCTAATTGTTCCTGCTCCTTGAGCTGCCAAGTATTGTGATGGTAGGAACGTCAAGATTCACACACCATTTTTACCTGCTCTAAAGTCTTTACTTAAATTCAGATGGTCATGCCCACAGTATTTTCCGGTAGCTGGGGTTAGACTTTCCTGGGCCAAATTGAAAGACATTATTCTAAAATCACCCAGTGGAGTTACTCAGGTAGTGAACAACATTTTCTCTTTGCTCTGTCATTTCTCAGTTCAATCCCATCACCTGTGTGAAGCTTGATGTCTGTCAGTTTGGGAATTGGGGACCTGAAATTGTTCGCAGGTTGTTTCACTGATGCAGTATTTAGTGTTGCTATCCTATTATGATCTACTACTAGTCACATATGCCTCACTTAAATCAACCATGATTTCTTGTAGTTTTATTTCTACTTATGATTATTCCGTAAATTGCTGAAATTTCTCACCTCAGGTTTCATGGAATTATTTCTCGGGAGCAAGCAGATGAAATACTTGCAGGTGTAGAAGGAGCATATATTCTTAGAGAGAGCCAGCGGCAACCTGGATGCTACACTCTAGCTCTCAGGTAAACTCAGTTTTAATAAAACATTTCTAGATTAACTAGACATTTGGAAGGGATGGCGGAGATAATACCAGTCCCTTTGATTGAGAGACCCCTCTGCCTTTAATTGCTAGGGCTTGCAACTAAGCGTGATTTTAAACCTGTTTGACAATCACATTACTTCAGTAAACTAGTAAGCTTTTTACCATCTGCTAGGAGTTTGCAAACTTTCTCTGTGGATGTGTATCTTGCCATTATTATGCAGGCTTTTGTTTCCTCAAGCTTAGACCATTGCAGTGCTCTGTACATGGGACTACTCCTTAAAACCATTTTGAGACTGCCGCTGGTGCAGGATGCAGTAGCTTGCTTACTGATTGGGCATCATGCTGGGAACACAAGACACTAGTGCTCCTCCCGAATCTGCACTGGTTGCTCATTGGTCTCTGGGTGGAGTGTAAGGTCTCTGTTATGATCTACAAAGCCCTAAATGAGTTGGAACAGGCCAAACTGAGGAGTTGCCTCTCTCCCCATGCCACAACTGTGTTCAGAAGGGGCACATGACTGGATCTCGCTCAGTATAAATGAGAGGGGGCGGTTGGCAGGATGCCCTCTGTGAAGGCTGCAGTACTCTAGAACTAGCTTCCTCTCCCCCCCCCCCCCCGGTCTGATTTTGGTGACCTTCCAGGCATACTGCAAAAGATATCGGTTTGACGGGGTTTTTTAGAAGGTAAAGTTGTGCTCCCCCAATGATGGCGTGGAAAGGGGTCTCTGTAGGTGGCTCGCTGAATTCCTGTGGAATGACGACTTTTATGCTGCTGATTTTGATTGTGAGAGTAATAATGGTAGGGTGCCTCAAACTTTGGATCGGGGTCCTTTTATATATTGAATCTAAATAAAATTATTAGAAACCTAAAGCTTACTTTAGCATCTTTCTTTTTAAAGAGACATCAAGCTACTCAAGTGCAAAATTTTGTACATCATAAAACTGTCATAGTTTCGTGGGAAATATCCTTCAGATCCTATCACCTTTAATAAAATTTAAAAAAATAAAGTTTTAAAAACATTACTATTTTTGTGGGACCTGCAAAAAGAGTCTCCAATTTTATACTCCCTTTGGTAAGTCTGTAACAAAAATTTCCTAGAAGAGATTTCCTAGAGCTATGAACATTGTACTGAGATCATCCTGATTAGTTATATTGGCGCACAAATGTTATACCAATAGAATTAAAAACCAGCAGGATCTTATTAAGAGGGATAAGGCAAAGATGCCACATTTATTGTAAATATACTGATAAAGCAAAAGATAAAAGTAAACAACGTTGTTTGACTACTTATTTCTTATACACACACACACACATATATATATATAGAGAGAGAGAGAGAGAGATTCATTCACACAATCATTCATTCAAGTTCTGTATAGGTGTTATAGTTACCAGCCTAGAAGTTGCTCATGCCAAGTTACTGGCCAGGTATCTTGGTCATGAGAATGGAGCCGAGTCTGTGTCAGGTGCACCTGATGCTCCTGGAGGTTGGCAGCAGAACCAGAGACTCAAAGTCATCAGTCTTGAGAGTCCATTCTTATAGGAATTAATTCTTATGTTAGTCTATGGGAGCTGTTTCATTCTGCTGTTGCTGACTCAATCAGCAGATGGCACATTCCTGTCCAAAGTGGCACATTCCTGGTGGCTCCACACTGTCCAAAGTTTGTGTTTCTCATCCTTCCAGGTGATGGGGTGGATCCCAGTTTACCATCAAGGGGTTGTCTGGTGGTCCTACTTGACACCTTCTTCGGCCGATGGATACTTCCTTTCTAGGCTGGCACCTCCCTAACCATTCATATATATCAAGCATTCATCAGCATACATTCCATATCTTAACCATATTTTAATTTACTGTCTCCACCACTTTCAGGGTGTGTGCTAATTCATTTGAGACTCCCGGCCCTTTAATCACAGAGGGTGGGGGTCTGTCCTAGGAGCCGTTGATGAAGTGAAAGTCACTTACCAGCTTATAGTGTTTGTTTACATTGTATCAATTACTTCAAGAACAAAGTCAATTAACTTGTTTGTAAGTTTTACATAGTAATAAAGTATCTTTCACAGGATAGATATAATCAATGGTTTCTACAGACAGTAGCTTACAAGTTTTAACAGAAAACCCAAGAGATTTTTGTACTTGGTGAAACTGTTGGATTTTAAAGTGTGGGGGACAAATTATGAGGGTGTCACTTGGGGGAATCACTGTTAGTACCTTCTTTTATATCCCTACACAAACAAGGCCGTCAGCAGTCCAGTATTTAAAACCATTTTGAGACTGACGCTGGTGCTTGCTGTGTGAACAGTGTAGGAAATGAATAGCAGTGTTTGTCAAATGGAAAAGAACAAAATAGGAGATTTTCAAGGTTCTTAACAAAGTATTACAAAATAAAGAGTAAGAAAAGTATAGTATTTGATTGTCCTTATTAAATATAGATATGTATAGTGATTGTAACAGAATACTTCAGTTGCTAACATCAAGAGCTAGATTTTCAGTCTAATATCTAAATTTACCTATGTAAATACTTGTCGATTCAAAAACGTACGTTTGTTTGCAAATTGGGAATTTATATGAAAAAAAGTTATAGCACAAATCTAGAGACCATTCTGGAGCTTTTAGCCTGTAACCCATTTAACAAAGAAAACATACATTTGGACTGAAATGCTGACCCCACTGAAGTCACTGACAAAAACCTTCCATTTACCTCAGTGAGACCTGGATTTCACCCTTGATGTGCTATAAAAGAAACATTTTAAGATACTTTGTTTTTAATATAGTTTTTTTTAAACCGTATACTATACATGCCATAAATAGCACTCCCCAGAATAGGCTTTTGTCAATCAGTATAAGCATACCTCTGATGTGTTGTGCCAGCCCCTCAAGATGAGCACATACTGACTAACTGCACATGTTTTTGGGTGGTGTTGCTTGTTAAACACTAGGTGGCTTAATCCTTCAGTCAGATCCACATGAGCACAATGAGGTTCTGTGGGATACTCATCCACACAGATCCATTTGCAATATTAGGACCTAAAAATGTATGTATAATCAGCAAGATTGTCTCCTGGTTGTTCTGATATTTTGTATTCTCTTTCTCTTCTTTTTTTTATGCAGGTTTGGTAATCAGACCTTAAACTACAGGCTTTTCTATGATGGGAAGCACTTTGTGGGGGAGAAAAGGTTTGAATCTATCCATGATTTGGTAACAGATGGCTTGATAACGCTGTATATAGAAACCAAGGCTTCTGAGTATATTGCCAAAATGACCAAAAACCCCATCTATGAGCACATAGGATATGCTACTCTGCTTAGAGAAAAAGTATCCCGAAGGCTGAGCAGAACCAAAACTGAATCAAGAAAAGCTAGTGTAACAAGTGAAGAAAATACACCGGTTGAAAAGGTAACTATTCAGTATTAAATGGCAACCAATCTAATGCTTTCTTTATAGTCTATAATCTAAAAAGAAACAAGTGTTTAATAATAATAATTAATAACTATTAATTTTGCTGTCATTAAAGTGTTCCTGAGCCATTGAAATGTTTATATCCTGTTAACTGACTGATAACCAATCATGTGTACTTGAAATTACTATTTAATTGGGGCTTTTGAAAAGATAATAAAAACTTCCCATCCACTACCAACACAAATGATTTTATGCATGTAGTGTGGGACCTGACTACCATAGAAACCGCTTTTCCTTATGCACCATCACAATGGCTGGGACAAGCTGAGGTGTTCGCTTGTCCATGTGCATTCTAAAGTCATGGCATTCTCAGTGGCAGGTCCCAGACTGTGAAACTTGTGCCCATTGGCCATTCACCAGAGCTCAAGTTTGTTAGCTTCCAGTGCATGGTGCAAAGCTCCTCTTTTCTGCCAGTCCTTTGGTGAATGGGTCTGAAGTGGGGTATTGTCTTTGCCTTCTTTCTTTCTCTTTCTTTTTCTGAGTTAAAATGGATTTTTCTTGCCATCTCTTACCTGACCATATGCTACAGCAGTGTGTGAACTAGAACTTACTGACTTAATACTTTGAGAACTCCATCCGCTTAGTAATCAGGTAAAAAAATAAAATTAAGAATTACACCATATGTGATAAACACTGTTGTAAACAGTGATGTGTGAGTTTTCCCATTTCTAGGTGGACTGTGCACTAAGTATCCCAAACAAAACTTTCTTCCTGGTGCAGATGTTTTGGATGAATTAACTAATTCTCATTTGTGGGAGGACTGCTGCATCATGATTTAGATGATAGTTGATATTTGGGAAGCAGTGACTGTATTTGCTGGAAAATAACATGTATCACACATGTGAATATAGCGGAGATAATTATTTTCCTGAGGCCTCTGTCTGTCCCACTGAAAGACATTTCCAGGCAAGTTACTTTCTGTGATGGGTTACATATCAGCGTTGACTGAACACTTACTGGTTTGGATTTCTGACACACAGTAAAACAGGACAGATATAGGCAAATTGCAGCAGTTTAGGAATTGTTCTCCGTAGCAGCTCTTATTCTTGAATAAGATGAAGTGGCATCCAAACATAGTCATCCACAGTAGCAAATGAGTTGGATTAATAATGATGGCTTTTTAGTAAAGTCACACAGCCTGGAGAAGATCTTTGGACAATAGGGTTGTGAAGAAACCTGATTCAGATTCTATTTCAGCACAAATCCAGTGACAGGGATACAGTAGAACCTCAGAGTTATGAACACCTTGGGAATGGAGGATGTTCGTGACTCTGAAATGTTTGCAACTCTGAACAAAATATTTTGACTGTTCTTTCAAAAGTTTACAACTGAACATTGACTTAATGCAGCTTTGAACCTTTACTATGCAGAAGAAAAATACTGCTTTTAACCATCTTAATTTAAATGAAACAAGCAAAGAAACAATTTCCTTACCTTGTCAAATCTTTTTTAAACTTTCCTTTTTTTTTTTTAGTAGTTTGTTTAACACAGTATTGTACAGTATTTCCTTTTTTTTTTTTTCTGTCTCTGCTGCCTGATTGCATACTTCCTGTTCCAAATGAGGTGTGCGGTTGACCGGTCGGTTCGTAACTCTGGTGTTTGTATCTCTGAGGTTCTACTGTACTATTTGGAATAACTTAGATGGTGTTTTAAAAAACAAAATATGGAAACAACAGAATTTGGTCCAAATAAAAGATATTACCTCACCCACCTTATCTCTTTAAGATATGGGAAGGAATTATAGAGAGACAAGCGTCCTGCTCATTCTGCTGATTCCTGTGATTGGATGCTGGCTGTTTTGGAATGCTAAATCAGGCACAAGAGTCTATATTTTGACTTGTTTGGGGTACAATGAGTAAGACGAAGCAGAGTTTAGTACAGTATGACTTTTCTCTGTAGGGGTGGGTCAGTAACACCCCTACAGACGGATGCCCTACAGATCATGCTCTGGAAACTAGCAGTTTCTTTTATGTTGAGAATATATTTGACAAACAGTATGGTGACTTTAAAACATTGGTATGTGCAATTAGTGTAATAACAGGAATCACTACAGTCTTAAATCCTAGACACATTCCTTAACTTATGGAAATATGGTATCTCTAATTAGAAACAAAACCAAAGCTATTAAAAAAATTTTTAATCTTAGTTGCAATTCTTGTCACATTTTTATTATTGAAAATCTGTGATTTTTCATATGCTGCAATGCCCTTGAGCACTTCGAAGGGTTTTATTTTAATCTACTTATCTTTATAACTGATCATATTCTCTTTCATACTGGGACTTTGGCTGAAATTTTCAAGTTTTGGTGCTTAAGGTTAGGTACCTAAATAAAAATGGCCTTTCAGAGGTGCAAAGTGATGAGTGCTTGCTTAGCAGCTCTGAAAATTGGACTACTCTGATTTAGGGGCCAAAATCTTAATTTGCACCTACATCTGAACATTTCTGACTTTGGGTCTGAGCCAACTCCCAGTGGAATCAGTGGAAAAACTCCTATTGACTTCAATATGGGTAGGCTCGGGCCCTTTGTGTACTAAGACTCAGCTAAGTAAAAGGGGCGGGGGGAGGAGAGGGAGCAGGAGGAGGAGCTGCCGTCAGAATCCTTTTCTAGCTGTCAGGAGCAGGAGCCATCAATGCCAAAGAGTGGGGGGGATGCGGGCTTCATGAGCAGCGGGGTTCAGGAGATGCTGTTGCAGCAAAAGGGTGCCTGCTCTCTGTGTGACCCCAGGCATGCCCATAATGGGACAGAAGATTCCTCTACGCTCCCCCAGTGCTTTTAAATCTGAGACCCCCAACACAGAGGACTTGAGCTTTGCAGCAGAGGCATTCATCCTTTGGTGGAAACCAGGTAGAATTTTCACCATGACCATCACATGCAGGTTTCCACCAGGGAAGGCTACTTTCCACCCCTATTCTATTCTGTCTATGTGTTGAGACACAGTGCCCATCACAGTGGCATCTGCTCATCACTACATTATTTGGACAAGTTGATGGGCAAAACTTCAATGTTGGGTGGAGTTTGGAGGAGTACCTCACCTATTTTTCCTCAGCCTGACTCCTGATAAAAAGGGATTGGGCTGTGAAATAAACCAGCAAAATATGAGTTTAGTTTTGTAGCAGCATAATAATAATATGCTAGATTCCCTTTGGCTTGCTTGGTTTATTTCTATGCTACACCTAAAAAAAAAAAACTTTTTTTCAAGGAAAATTTCTTGGGGAAGTAATAGCTCATGGTTGGTTGTACAAAAGACTTTGCTTTTGTTTGGGGTTTGTTGCATACCATTATAGATACAAGGCATACGTCTCCGTTACAGATTAAAACCCACCCAAAGCGCTAATAAAAGGTAGGCAACCAGAAAGAACTAAAGTAACATTCAGGTTGACATATTTCCATGAAGTAAATTACTTGACTTGTGTGTGAATATAATTGAATTTTGTACAAGATGAGTTTTCTTTGGCATTTTGGAGTGAACAGGTGAGGTGAAAGTTTTGAATAATTGAACTGTCTTATTTGATTGGCCTGCCTGGAATATTTTGAACATTTCTGAAATGCTTGGAAAGAAAATAGTGGAGAGAGGCTTTCATTATTTCCCCCAAAGGGCTTGAGAATTTGGCACAGTACAGGTTATGCCCCAGTACTCATATTATAGATTAGGTTTTTTTGAAGTGAAATTTCACTTCATATTGATACCATTTCCAAAACTGTGAAACTGGTGCTCAAGGCATTCATTTCTTTAGTAGATTTGTTATGCTATTTAGGAGATCTATCCATTCTTCCTTGTCCTGTGTTGACAACAGAAATTATTAAACATCTCAGTCATTCCAGAAGCCCTTTTCCCCTTTGGGTAAGTCAATGGAAGGTTGTCACAGAGGCACTATCTAGAAAGAAGATTCACAAATTTGAATAGAATGACTTGGAATCGCCTGAGGTACCTGACTACTCCCATGATGTGGATTCTTGGAGGTTGTATTAGTGGAGTACTACCCATTGCAGTACAAGAGAGGTGGTCCATATGCCAAATTAAGCTGTTTTTGTTTGTTTGTATGTTTTTACGAATCATGTTTGGAGTAATCCCGAGAGACTGTTTACCTTTGAGATACCTGATAATGACTAAGTATCATGCAAACCTCTTTCTGTCTAACTGAGTAGTCATCCACTCACCACATTTTATTATAGTGGGTTAAAACATGTTTAATCCAAACGGAGGTTAAATACTCTTTAAGAATGAGGAAGATAGGGGATATAAATTCTGCAAGATACTGGTTTAGCAAAATAGGTAATAGTGGCAGTCATTTTAACCTGTTTACTTGCATAGGGATTGTGAAGCTGGTATTGCATGAAAAAATGAACAAACCCTTATTGGAACATTATATAATTGAGCATACTTAGGGTTCCTCTCCAACCCATACTGGGGATTGTGATTGCATATTCTGCATTTGTTCTGTTCATCGTACACTCTTTACATTGGGCAAGTACAGAATATGCAATAGCAAGATGCAGATAAACAGCTCACAGTATGAATGCTGGAAGAAAAGTTTGCTTGCTATAAGCAATTAATCTTCTTTTAAAAGAAAAAATTACAGTAGTCATTCATTAATAAAATATATGGTTCTGAAATTGTGTATTGCCATGATCACAAGACAGTTTTTATTACTCTAAGTGTTCTGTATATTACTGCCAAGCAGAACATTTTTTCCTCTAATACTATACTGGTAGTACGAAATTTAGGAAAATATCTTCAAAAGGTTTTGCATTTCAAAATGATGGCAATAAATTCAGGTGTCTCTTTCCATTGCAACTATCTATTTCAGGGGTAGGCAACCTATGGCACGCGTGCCGAAGGCGGCACGTGAGCTGATTTTCAGTGGCACTCACACTGGCCGGGTCCTGGCCACCGGTCCGGGGGGCTCTGCATTTTAATTTAATTTTAAATGAAGCT